CATTGTTTCACTAGTGTAAAACCTGAAAGAGTTAATTTAAACTAGGAGGTATGATAGACATTGTGAAATGATAGGAAAGCACTCAAGGGTAAAGGGCAATTGGGATGTGGGAAAAGAGAAGAGAAAGAAGGAGAAATTTTGTATGTATGTATATACTTGATAGTTAACATGGTTATTCTACTGTCTTCTATTTCTTTGCTGAAAGAAACTGTCAATGAGTCCTTGGTTGATCAGTATTGCATGTCTCTCTCTGTTTTCATGAGAAACCACTTTGAAGATATCAATATGTAATACAATAAGCATTGCTAATTTCCTACCACTTTGTTTGTAACTCTGTATTGTACTGTTCTTTTGCTACTTTGTAAAATGTTGTCTGTTAATGTTTTCCTCATTTTTAAAATAAAAAAAAATTTTAAAATGCCTGCATTTGTACACACCAGTAATAATTTTTTAAAGGAATCATTTTTTAAAAGTTATCATTTACAAGAAATTTAAGGTAGGCGTGGTGGTGCACACCTGTAAACCCAGCCCTTGGGAGGTTGAGACAGGAGGATCACCGTTGAGTTCAAGGCCAGCCTGGGCTACAAATGAATTCAAAGCCAGCCTGCACTGCCTAGTGAGCCCTTGTCTCAAAAAAAAAAATTAATTAACAAATGCCCCTTAAAAACCCCATCAAGTTTTCTCACAGAACTCAAAAAGATGGTTTTAAGATGAATATGGGAAAAAAATAGCCAAGAATAGCCATTTGTGGGGGGTAAACTAATGGGCAACGTGTAACCCCCAGCTGAACTGAATCAGCGCGGTGCTGGGTGTGGCGGGCCCACCTGAGGATTGCTGCCGACAGCATAAAAAAGAGCACTGGAGGGGAGGATGGTGAGCTGTTGATTCTCTCGGAGAAGCTTGTTGTACTGGCTTTCTGATATGAACTCGGCTGCTCTCAGCATCGGAGGAGCTTGGGACCTCACTATTGCTGAGGATGGCTGGGGTTCGCTTTAGGGGAGCTCTGGTCCTTCCTTTGAGCATCGCTTCCTGGCTCCAGTGCAGACCCCTCATTCCGCTAGCACAGATCCTTCATCCCGCTGACACAGACTTTCTAGATTCTACCACTGGCCTTTGGCCCTTCCCAGCGCAAATCCGTGAAACAGGCCTGCATGAGACATTGTTGTGGGCTCTTGGCCTCCAGGTGGAATCGTGGAGGAAACTGCCATGAACTCTCGGTCTTCATCTGGACTCAGGCAGGACATTGCTGTGGGATCCAGGCCCTCGGCTGGATTCCTTGGGTCTTTAGTGTGTGGACAGATTTCCTGCGCTCTTGTGCACTGACTCTTTGGGTGAATACTATAAAATAATCCTATAACTCATGTGTCCTGCATTCGGTCCTTTCCCTTATAAGCCCTGACTACAACACCATGGAACTGCTGTCCAAGAAACACTGTGGGTGAGCAGAAGCCCACCCTTCCCCTCCTAGAGAATGAAAACACAAAATTACTGTGAAGACTGTGGACATGAGCATGCAATCAAGACGAAGGAACCTGAGAGACTCCAGGGCGGCTCTGTGGCTCACTGGGGAAGGATGAATTACCCAAGAAACGTGTGAGGACACTGGCAAAGAAAAGCTCTATCTCTGTCCAACATCACACACAGACCTCGAGATGGATCAAGAATTCCAAGGTGAAAATCAAAACATTTAAGCTCTTAAAGGAAAATACATGAAAGTATGCAAGAACCCTCAGAGTTGGGAAGAGTTTCTGAAACAGAACACATTTTAAAAGTACTAACCATGAAAGGAAGTGTAGATGTTAACATGGAGCACTTTGCTCACTACAATCCTCAGGAGGATGAACAGACAAGCCAAACACAGGGAGAAAACATCTGCAACATATATAGCGAACAAGTAATTAATACTGGGGATATTATATAAAGAACTCCTATAAATCAAGTAGAAAAAGACAACCCAAGAGAAAAATGGATAAGGAAAAGAAGGCATTTTATGTAAGAGGAAAAAGAAAAGGCTTATAAGCACATGCAAAGATACTCAACCTCCTTGGTAGTTTGGGAAATAGAAATGAAAGGGGTAATGAGGTGGCCACGCAGGGGCCAGGACCCTGAGCAAGGGGAGTTCTCCTCCCGTGTGGGCGTGGCAGGAGCGTCCGCTGGCTGTGGCTATTCTGCAGAACATCTTTGCATCAGCAGAGCTAACTACATACATCCTCCACAACACCGCAGCTCCGCAGTTAGGGATACACCCTATGAAAACCCCTGACAGGAGACACACAAGAATACATTCTCTGACTCACTGGGATCAAAATTAGAAATTAACTCTGAAGTGTGTGATTAAGGACCACACAACATCCAACATTAATATTTACTGAGCGCACAGATATTCTTTTCACGGACTTCTTACTCATTAACTGCCGAATTCACCAGTAAATATCATTATTACCCTTTTGTAAATGCAGGGATTAATGCATCTGGTGGGCCAGGTTCGGATGAAGCATGAATAGCTTTTTGTTCACACTGACAAGTACGTGTACTTTAATCACCAAAGACTATCAAGTATTTATATAATGAAATCCTTTCTGAAGATTATTTCAATGTAATCAGGATTAAAAGGAAATAAAACTTTTATCCTTATCATCTCTGAGTGAAGACACTTGAGTTTTAATATCTTAATCAGAAGGTACACAGGAGGAAACAGTAACACGGGGCGAGCCGGGCATCCCGTGGTCTTCCTTAATAACAACCCGTTTTCAAGAGACCATAATCTGCTCAACAGCCAGCTTTCCCTTAAGGGTCATAATCAGAGTCAGAGAAAACTCACACTGGAAATAAACAATATGCCGCTAAAACCAAGACAATGTGGGTATTAGCAGCTATACAAAAGTCAGCCTCTATCGGGTGAGTCACTTCTCAAATGATGAAAGGATAAGGCTTTGAAGTGCTTTCTATTCAAGCTGGAAATATATATAAAGGAAGGGAATCATGTAGCAACCAAGCTGACTGCGAAATTTTTCCTCATTTTACACATACTTGTTCGACTTTATGCAAATATCGAACTAAGAATGGCAAAGATGAGTCTCTCTTCCTACATATTAATACTAACTTTTTCTTTGTTTTCTCAAGGTATTCTGCTTTCAGCTTCCAAGTCCATAAAGAATTTGGAAGATGACGTGGTATTTAATACATTTAGGATGGGGAAGACCTTTCAGAAGGAAGACACTGCTGAAAGATCAGTCGCTGCTCCTTCTCTGGAACAATATAAAAATGATGAGAGTGTTTTCATGAACGATGAAGACAACAAAAATTCAAAGGTAAGTGGCAGTGTGACTTATCTTTTATTGCAATGAAAGTGGTTTATGTAAATTCTCTAAAAAGTAAAATTGGTACTTATTTTTTTTATAAACAGGAATGTATACAAATAGGCATAATATGCATCAGGATAACTGATGAAATTTCATCACAGGGGGTGGTTCTCCCATCCCAAAGAGTACTTTTTATCCAAAGGTGTTGTATTTGCAATAAACTTTTATCTAAGGTATTTCTAAAGAGTCAGAAGCAGTACAGTGCATGTCTAAACTGATCAATATGGATGTCACACAACTGTGTCATAGCTTCATTCTGAAGAAGACAGCTAAAACCCCCACCAACTTTCTCCTTACAGAACACAGGCTCCAGACATAATTTCATAAACCATGGTCTGCCACTGAATCTGGCTCTAAAGCCTTACCTTGCACTGAAAGGATCTGTAGCTTTTCCGGCTGAGAATGGAGTGCAGAATATTGAGTCAACACAAGAAAAGAGAGAAATCGGGGATGAAGAAAACTCAGCTAAATTTCCGATCGGAAGGAGAGATTTTGACAGTGAGTAATCTTTTAAAAACTCAATTCTTCTATCTCAATACCATAAAAGAACCCTGAGTTTAAATGAGTTTGGATCTAATCATAACACAATGAAATAAGACCATGGTTCAATTCTACTTGATAGTAAGTCTCCACTGTCAGAAACAGGAGCTAGAAAAGCATCTAGCTATTCTAACTGTGGTTACTCAGTAGTTATAACAGAGCCATTTTTTGTTCGTTTGTTTGTTTGTTTTGTTTTGTTTTATTCTGGTACCGGGAATTGAACTCATGACCTTGCACTTGCCAGGCAGGCGCTGTGCCGCTGAGCTAAATCCCCAGCCAACACAGCCATTTTTCCCTTAGTTTTGTGTGGTAATCATAACCCTTTAAATAATTTACCCTGTTTCCTTCAGTGCTCAGGTGTATGCTGGGCAGAGTCTACCGACCATGCTGGCAAGTCTGATACCTGCTGGTCCACATCGTCTTCTCCGAAGAAAACAAAGTCATTTCATTGCCAATGCAGAGAAAAGTCCTTCGTGTTAATATAATTTGTGTTATTATTCTAAATATGTCTTTTAAAACAAAGCTGTGTTAAGATGGATGTACCTGTAACCCAAATGATACGCTTTTTTTTTTCCCATGCATTAAACTTTGTGAAAATTCTGCATAATTATGACTAAGTGGTATTTTTAGACAATAGATGAACACACACTTCACAGCTACGTACACCTTCCACTTTTAAAAGTATATAATTTGAATGAATGGTTTCACGGGTGCGTCAGTCTAAAGCACATCAATGACAAAATCATAGCATAAAAAACTGCGTTAACTTTGTCTGGCCGGTAATCAACTTGGTTTTGACAGCACACTTACTGCCTTTTGCTCCTCTGGCTAGTCTGCCATCTGGCTTCTTTCGCAAACCACTTGACATTTTAGGTATCTTAACATTTTTATGTTGAGGTGGTTCATTTCCATTGTCATGGAGAATATATTCGCCGTCCAAATCCACCTGTTTCCTTTTTGAGCTTTTATTTCCTGTCTGACTATTTGATTTTCTTGATACTTTGTCGTTTTTACTCCTGTCCAGATGAACATTTCCAGAATGCGTTCCAAGTGTTGATCTTCCAACAGACGAATCGACACCCTCTGTTACGCAAGATAAAAAGGGGAAAGGAATCATATTTCTATCTAGTATTGTTACTCTTAAAAATTTCACAACTTTAAATGACAGAAAAAGGGATCAAAAATGATCATATGATATATACATACCAATTCCTCAATGGGAGTTGCATAAATTTTATGTGTTGCAAACATATACCAATAAAAAGGCTACATATTCAAAAATCTATGATTTATAATAAAATACTAGCCAGTTAAATGATTAACACATACAGCTACATTATCACATTAGTTTTCATGTTACCATATTACCTCTCCTTCCTATCAATGAATATTTGTTGGAATATAGGATATTAATCATTATGTATATGCTATCAATTATTTCTTAAATCCACTTAGTTAAATCAAACTGTTTCCTATTACTATCCATAAGTTTATACTTAGATTTAACTTCTTAAATAAACCCAGTTCTTAAAAAATATAGACTTTGTATTTGATAGTACTTTGCAAAAATAATAGTTTTACTTAAGTTAAAACCAATAGGTGGACTAGAATTAAGGTCAATTACCAGAAAGGTTGTTTTCCATGTGAAGAACACACAAAGGCTTTGATGTCAGGTTAACATTATTCCGTTTATCCTTGATTATCATGCAATCATCTTTATAAGTACAAGAAAACTGGGATCTGATTAAGGTTTGCTTCATCTGGTAACAGAAAGAAAAATATGCAATTTATATTTCATTTTTTTCATTTTTACATACTCAATAGTAATCACAGTATCATTAAAAAGTTCCCCTACAAATTCCATTTTTCACTGAGAATTGTTTTCCTTTTATGTTTTATAGTTCACAAACTCATTCCGTTATGGGTAGCATTGTTTTCCTTTCAGCAATACTAGTTTCCTATATATTTTTGATATATTTTGTAACAGTTATAAAACATGAATTTTCAACTCTTCAAGAGCTATTGTTACTCGCTTCTGTGTCTGGGCAGCTTTAGGAGTGAGTTTTATTGTAAGTGAAATCATACACATGATATCCCGACCATAGGAAAATACAAGTTCTTCATTATAAGAAATGCAGTGAGCACAAATATTTGGGGGAAAAAAAGTGTAAGAATTCTAGGTCAAAATAAACAGAAACAAAACTAGCAAAGAAATAAAAAGCAAGAAAAAACAATAGTATTGGGATGATATTATTTCTTGGTCAAAACATGAATATTCAGAAAACAAGAGGGCCAGGGATACAGCACAGCACCTGCCTGGCAAGCACAAGGTCATGAGTTCAATTTCTGGTACCAAAAAAAAAAAAAAAAAACAAGAAAGATGATTCAAATCTATCATTTTAGGAAGATTCCACCAAGTGTTTTAACAGTCAAAACGTCAAAATATACTCTTGCATTTATCTTTTTTGCATAAAGTAGGAAGCCTCACGTTCTTCTCAAGCAGAAGAAAACCAGAAAGATGAAGTTAAAAATTTTAAGAACTAAGAATTTTCCAGGCATGATGGCATATGCCTGTAATCCCAGCACTTGGGAGGCTGAGGGAGGAGGAGCGCCACAATTCCGAGGCCAACCTAAGCTGCATAGTGAGTTCAAAGCTAGCCTGAACTACTTAGCAAGACCCGGTCTCAAAACATTAAAAACAAAAAAAAGGCAGAAGAATTAAATTTTAAATTTAAGAAAAAGCATACCAACATGATAGTTTGAGAAATATATTGGGCAAACATAATAACCACTGAATGTTTTAGAGATGGAATTAATTCCAGAATAAACTACCCTATACAGATAATGCAAATTTCAACGATTACACTGGTCTGTAGCTATTCAGTTATCATGGAGAGATTTCTCCAAATAATTAGAAGTCACTTCAAATCCTTTAACAGTTCAAAGTCAACTACACTATTTTGAGTATTACTTGGAGCGTTTGTTGATGACAAAACAAATGACTTTGTTATATATTACTAATAATTCAGTATTTGTGCACTAGGTTACATAGCCAAAGAAATTGGCACATTAAACACCCACTCAGATGTTTGCAAAGGAAATGGCAGTGAGGTCCCCAACACTGATTTCTAAGGAAGCAGAACAGCATCTTGGACAGCTGTGTCATCAAAGTAAACTCTGTTAGCACGATCTATCTCACGGCTGAGGGCTGGAGGTGACTACAATTATGTCTCATCTGCTTCAGTGAAGCATTAGAGGACTGGAGTGTGTTATTTTCTTCCACTTAAAACACAAAACTGCATAAAAGTATAAAAGTGTACATCATCAAAAAACCATTGTTTAGAAAAAAGTGGAATAGAGTAGGCTGCCAATGAGACTATAACTCACTACAACTCCACAAGTTCCTATGAGCACAGCTCCTGGACCTAATCTCTACCACAAGATTTCCTACGATAGAACTGAAAGTTTTAGGTAGCTCTTTTTGGACTTTATCCTAGAAATACGGAATTAGAGCAATTTACAAATCTATTAAGAGAAATCTTATTAATAAAATAGATGACATTTTATTACATAGTATCATTGCTGTCGTAACCTTATTCATGTACTTTTATTTCCATCATTGACATAGCTCCTTCATATATTTCTTTCACTTTGGCAGTAACTGTTCACAGAAAATTATAAACTTACTGCTTATAAACAATTACAAAGGGTATGGTAAGACTATGCAGTCAGACAGACGCTAAGTGCCTGGCTTGGTCACTCCCATAGTCCTCAGGAGGGACAGCACCTGTAGGTGGCTTCCGCCCACTCCACAGCCTTCATCAGCACTGTCTATGACGCACTCTATGTAAAAATACAGTAATTACACAATTTAGTACAGAAAACTCATGTTCTCTCAATCTCCTATCTAGCACGAGCATTTCTTTAGAAAGCTTTGTTATTTTTTATTGATTTTAATAAAATCTAAGTGAAAAATTTTGTTTTCCATATATGCAGTCACAAAGTAAGTACCCCACTTCTCCTTATAGCTTGATTTCCTCTCTTCAGGCCTCCTATAGAGAAATTCTAGAGCCCTTAATGACCACAGGACAATTTCAGAAAAGTAAAGTTACAAGGCAGTGGATTCCTAATGCTTGAGATGTGGAAGAAAAATAACCACTTTACATGAAGAAATATTATTTATAAACGCATGCAAATGACAAAGACAATCATGATCCATGGTGATCTTGCAATAGTTATGTCCAAAAGAGCTGACAGGAGTTATGTTATTTTTTATGAAAGATTATATATGGGTTTTCTTTCCTCTGCCCTATACAGAAATTTTTTTAAAATCAATTACTAGTTGAGTTTCAACTGTGTGTGCACAAGAGATAACTAGAATGGCTCTTAAAGTTACAAAGACATGCTATTTATAAAATTTGCTGTTGACACACAGCTGGAAGGAATAACAAATACATTGTCTAACAGAATCAAGATTGAAAAGATTTCAGAAGGCTGGAACCGTAAGTAGAAAACAAGATGGAAATGAATGGGGATAAACAAAGACTTGTATTTAGGTTCAAAAATATCAATTACAGATGTACAGTATGAGGAGAACCTCCCTTGAAAAACGCGTCTGAAAAGACCTGGAGATTGTGATTGATCATGAGGTCCAGCTGACAAAGCAGCACAGAGACACAAGAAGCTGCGATGGGAAAAGCACCAGTGTCATAAGAAGACGCAGCCTCTAATATCGGCCCTAAGCCTCATTGTCTTGATAACCTTGGATAAACCAGTGTACGTCTCATTGATCCACACAGAAATGCAGCAACATTTACCTCGAAAAGTTGTCAGCACTATAAGAAATAAGAAAATATAAACAGTCTATGTAAATTCTAGAGATCTAAATTAGACACTGGATAGTTATCCTAATAACAAATATGAAATCAGTATTGCTATAAAATAAGAACTATTGAACTAGATCTCTCAGGACCAGGCCAATTCTAAAAGGATTCTAGGAATGCAGCTCAAAAAATGAACTTATAATCAGTTTCTCCCTTTTAATTTTTTGAAATGCAAGCTATATGAACTTGTATTTACAAAATAAAAGGGACTGCTTTTCCTTTGTTCATAAAAGTTGAATTTTTCTGCACAAGATTTGTGGCTACATAGAATTGAGATTACTTCCTGTTGCAAATCTTCCAAATCTCTCTGTGTATTTATTTGATTTGGAATCACAAATAAGCAAAACAATTCCCTCCTGAAAGTGCTTTTGAAGTACTAAACAAATAAGAATAATGTCCAGATTCATACATGGCTGTTAAAATCATTTCATGTTCAAGTCACATGAGAAAAACAGATTGAAAGTTTTCCTTTGTAGAGTGGTTTTTTTCCCCCCTTTGGAAGGATTTCTATCCACAGTAAAATTGCAATGAACTTCAAACTTGCCAAGAATTAGAAAAGTCCTTTTGCCACAAGCTCTTTTTAAAATTGAAATTATTAGTAGGTTCCCAGTTTGAGGAAAATAGTACTTCACATAGGAAAGCCTGACTCCAGTGAAATTAAGATGAATGAGTCAAAACACTGAAAAGTCACAGACACGCTGGGCTGGCTGCACTAATAAGAAAATGAAAACTCCAAGGTTCCACTACGCCAATATATTAACAATTCTGAAAAAAGAACGTTTATCTTTTTATTCTTACATGATCACATTTTCAAAGGAAGAGACACTCGGCACCTTTACTGGCATGTGGATTTGTACACGTGCCAAATAATCTACTGCTTTCACAGCGAAGGGCCATTTCCTTTGCTAAACGACAGGGAAGTAACTCTTGACCTAACAGTGACATCATCTTTTCACGACTCCTCAGTGTGAGGGCCGTGCCCTTCTTCACTCTTTGGGGAGAACGGAAACCTTGGGGTCTGCCGCCTGAATAAAAACCTCTGCTCTGTTACTCAAGCTTGCGGCCTGGGAAATGTGCGCTGCACTTGAGCAAGGATAGCTGGGACAGGAAATACAAATGTCCGTTACACATTCTCGACACTTAGTAGGTACTTTATAGGTCCAAACCCCGGTACTTCAGCCAAAACGGATCCCATATGACTTCAGCCTAATACATTCCGTTTCTACTCTAATGGACGTCCTTGCTTCATGTCACCTGAAGGAGGCCTCTACTTATCCTACGTCAAATCAAAACACACACGGGGCACGCTCCCTTCACTTTCCTGCTTTATTTCTTCTGTAGCGTGTTACTGACCTACTCTGCCATATCATCCGCTTGTTTCGCCACTGTCTGCTGCTCTCAGATGAAACATAAACCCCACGAACAGTGAAACCATTAGCGTGTGGCAGCTGCTGGTCTGCTCTGGCCTCCCCGGCCCGCAGGGTAAGGCGTCCGGGGGCACAGCCTTGCTCGCCGGGAGAACCTGGCCCCTTCCTAGCCGCTCGGGGTTCCCGGGGCCCTGGGGACCCAGGCTGCTGCTCCCCCCGGCTCCAGCTCACAGAGGCCCAAGCTACACATGCCTCCTGATGGGGTGTCCCCCGAGGTAAGACACAAAACTGGGCTGGAGGGGCACAGGAGGAGGCCAAGGCTGGGCATCCACACACGTGGAGTGATGACAGTGTATGATGGCCGTTTAAGTTATTTAAAAAGTGATTACAGTAAAAGACTTCTGGCCACCAATCCCCTCAAGGTCCTCCCGCTTGTTGCGAACACACTTGTTCTCGCCACTTCCCGGGAATCCTCTTCGCTAAGCACCTTTACAAGGCGGGATAAAAAGTACAGAGAACGCCGCGCCCAGCGCCCCCGACAGAAAGGCAGGCTCGTACCACCTCTGCGGTGCCCTTGCCTGTCTTACTCAGCAGATCTGACACTGCGACTGCTGGCTCTCCCCAAAGTCAAAATGACCACGAGAGCTCAATGTTTTGAAACAACTTAACACAGTGAGGCGGCCACGGCAGCACAACCAAAGACAGGACAGAGGACTGCAGAGCGGCTGCAGAAAGTGGCAGGAAGGACGGGCGAGTGTCTCAAGCCAGAGGGGGATGCGGGGCGGACAATGCGCATGCGCCGCGGTGCAGGTGAAGCACTTGCAGTATTTTCTGATCACCCTGCGTACGCTGCTGCAGCCCAGCTGCACAGACGTGCGGGGGGCCCTGTGGGTGGGAGCAGGGTCTTTAGTCTGCTTCATGCTCTGCGGCGCCCAGCACAGAGCCTGGTATACAGGACACACCTCATACCTGTTGGCGAATGAGTTCGCGGAAGGTCTAACAAGTTTATGTCCGAAGCAGCTATGGAGGAAGAGAAAACCCGAGCCAGCGAAACCCGGGGGTAGAAAGTAATGCGCAGGGGGCACCACCCTCTGACAGAGGGGTCTCACAGGCTGCACGTCCTTGGCGCAGTCTCTCTGCCGCTTACCGGTCCTCAGCACTGCGTCCCTGGCCTCGCAGCCGGGAGCCGGGAGGGATCCCTGCTGCCTCTGGCTTGGAGGTCAGGGCTCCCTCTGGGCCCGCGCTGTGCTGACCCCCGTCACCTCCCGCTGCGGGAGGCGGCTCGGGAAAGCAGGCCAGCGGGCGCTTCCTGGGGCAGGCGCAGTCCCGCTCCGCCCGCAGCCAGGACACGGGGTCTCGCCCACCAACACGGAGGCTGCCGCCCCCCACACGGCACCAGGAACGACTGCACGCAGGTTCCCTGCAGTCTGCACGGGGTCGCCAGCCCCTCAAGACCCGAAATCTCTCTCCTCGGTGCGAGGGCCTTCATCTTGGCCAACACCAGCTCTCAGCTCAATCTGAACTGACAGATACCAGGGCAGCGGCGACAAAGGCGTGGTCATCTCAGGGGCCCTTCGCCCTCTGCGGCTTTCAGCTTACCTAAACTTTGCTTACAGAGCCCCTCTATGCCTTTAAAACCTGTCTCCCCAACCTTACCTGCCTTTTGTTGTTTCGTTATTACAGCAGAAATGGCCTGCGACATGCTAGCTACAAACAGAGGGCTCCGAGTCCCTGGTGTCGACTCGATCCAATCCCCTCCTTACTTGGGAGCATTTCATTTTCTCCTTAGAGCTCCCCTCGAAGCCTGCATATCTTCTGTCCCTCGTTCTTCTGCGGTGTGAGGGATGGTGGGCGTGGAAGCAGAGTCATCGGTGGTGACGGGCAGTCGGAAGAAGTCCCCGCGTCCTGCGCTGCCCTCTCAGAGTCTAAGACGCAAGGCACGCGCTCCGCGAGGGCTTCTCCCTCTGGCTGGGCCAGGACTCGAACTCCACTCGCGCTAGATCGTCTCCCCGATGGGGCACACAGCGCCACAGCCTTCACCGCCTCGGTGTAAACTCGAGTTCACCTCACATTTCAGCCACATTCCTATCCAGCTGCTACTTCTGTTCTCTGATGAGGACGGCGCAGGGGCACGCATCTAGCTCACTGCCCATTTTGGAAAGACCAGGGACAGCTCTCCTTAGCACCACGGCTGGGCGCAAGGCCTCCTCTCTCCGAAATCCTTCTCTCCTTGGCCATGGCTTCTGACAGCTCGCTGCTATTCGGTTACGTCATTATGTGTCCTTTGCTCTTGGTGATTACTTTTGTTCGTTTTCATTATTTCGTATTCATTTCGAGTACCAGGGGAGGGAAATGCTGAGTGTAATTCAAGCCACCATTTTAAATGTGGCCATACTTGGAGGTTTCGAGCCATGAGGTTTAAATCTGCATACCTAACCAGGAACCTTCTCAGACCCTGAGCACAGGGCCACCTGGCTGCTGGAGGGGCAGCAGACTACAGCCAGCCGAGCCCCGACACTGCCACTCCCTCGTCCTCACGGTCCCCGCTGCCGTCCTTCAAAGCCTCAGTGTCTTCCTGATCGGCTAGTGAAGTTACTAACTTCTCTAACAGTTCCTATCAAAAGTACCAAGGCTGAGTAAGAACCTGATTGTCTCCACAAGGAAATTCATTGACTATCATAGACACATTTCCTAGTAAACAGCAGTAGGTAATAAAGGCTGAGGACCGAAACTGAGCATCTCACGAATAGTTACCAAGGTGGTTTCCGTGAATGGAAGATTCTGTGCCTGGAGGAGCACCTATTTCTATTTATGAATGAGGAAACTAAAATCTAAGTCCTCTGCAATACTGACATGGAGATTTCATAATCAAGTACATCAAAAATTCTAAATTCACTAATACTTTCTATTTCTGAAATGCTCACTCCAAGATGACACTTCAAGTATAGAATATATAATCTCTCCATGATTTTATCTATATGTAACAGTTTATACAACAATCATAAATATATGTTTAATTAAATGTTGAATAATTGAATGAATTGTACAACTGATTATATTCCGCCACTATGTCTTCAGACAGGAACAGATTTTAAACGATGCTGTACTACAGTTTGGATGTGGCATGTCCTCCAAAAGGCCACGTGTTAAGGGTCTGGTCCCCAGTGTAGCCCTGTTGGCAAAGGGTAGAAACTATTTCACTCCACAGCCAGGTGAGTGGTTCTGCTCTGTCCCTCACTCAGGGCCATGGCACTCTGGCACCACTAGCCCCCCTAGCCCCAAAAGCAGGATGAAACCTCAAAACACACCTTTCCTCTTTGTAACCTGATTGACTCGGGTGTCTGTTACAGTGATGGAAAGCTAACACATACAGTCTCTCACAGTTCCACTGAAAATGTTAGAAATGTAGGGGAGAAAGGAACCCTACTCCACCGCTGGTGGGAGTGTAGGTTGGTGAAACCACTGAGGAAATCAGTTTGGAGATTCCTCACAAAACTAGGATTGGAAGTCCCACTTAACCCAGCTATCCTCCTTCTGGATATTTTCCAAGAAGAAATAAATCATCATACCACAGTGATATATGTGCACCAATGTTTATAGCAGCACAATCTGTTATAGCTAAATCTTGGAAACAACCCAAATGCCCATCAACTGAGGAATGGATAAAAAAGATGTGGTATTTTTATACAATGGAGTATCACTCAACTATAAAAAAAGATAAATACGAGGCTTTTGTAGGTAAGTGGATGCAACTAGAGACCATACTCGTAAGTGAAATAAATCAGACCCACATGTATGAACATCATATTATCTCCTAGGTGTACGACCTGAAAGAGTAAGTAAAACTCAAAACATACAACTGATGATAGGAAAGGGAAAGAAACTGGTCAAAGGAAGGAATGACTGGGATGAGGGAAAGAAGAAAAAAGAAAGAAGGAAGGCAAAAAAAAAAAAATAAATATATATATATGTGTATATACACACACATACGAATAGCTGGGATAACTGTACTGCTGATGTCTGATGATATACTGAAAGCAACAGTTAATGCTTACAATGTTTTATGTTCTGACCAATTTTGCATGCTTATATCTGGTAATTAGAGCAACTGATTTGAAGGCAACAATATGCAATGGAACTACCATTGGTGAATTCCTACCATCTTGCCTGGTGAAACTCTGTATTACCTCTAATATTTTATCTAACAATTATTCTCTTATTCTCTTTAATGGTTTGAACAATCTTCCATTCTTACATCCTGTAATCTGAGCAACGTAGTTGAGGACAGCAATGTGTAATATAACAACCACTGTTCATTTGTATTATTTTTTCTTGAAACCCTGTATCATTTTAAATGTTCTTGCTTTGGTTTGTTTATGTTTGTGATGCTGCTACTGTTCTTTTTTTTCTTTTTCTCTCATTTACTACTCTCTTTAAAATAAAATAATAAATAAATAAATAAAATAGTAGAAATGTAAACAAAAGGGCCATGATTTTCCCCTTCATTCCTTCAACCAGTATTTATTCAATATTACAATAGCAACTGCTGATTTCTTTTCTTCTTTTCAGCCTAGTAGACTAAGGAGCCAAAAACAGATTAGTCAAGACTGTACAAAAGGGAAGCTTCTGTATGTCAACTGTCACTACTTGCTTCCCATTTCATCCTTATTGTGCTATATACGCTGTATACTTATATTATCCAGCTCAGCTTCACAATTTCTTCTAAATATAAATGTGTATCATTCATGACAGTACATTAAATTGTACCTTGACTTTCTTCTCTTGCACAGACTTACTGATGCGTTCTCTTAGGGGTTTCATCGGTGAATTATCCACTTGTTTGGGAGATCTATGTTTTAAAAAAAAAAGGTAAAAATGTATTGCTACAGTTTGAATGCTACCACGAGGCGAGACCTCTGGTGGGTGCTGCACCCTCAAGGATGGGATCAGTGCCCAGGAAAGAGCCCGAGGGAGCCTGTGTGGCAGTCTTTGCCCTTCCGCATCTCTGCACCGCTATCCACGAGGGACGGGTCTCAGTAGGAATGACAGTGGGTCTGCTGGCACCGTGATCTTCCGCCTCCAAAACTGTGAGAGATAAACTTGTCATTTCCAGATTACGCAACCTACGTGAGCGTGTCATAGAGCAGCCCCAGTAAGCCAAGACACTCAAGAAACCTAAGAGGCCTTTAAATCAGTTCCCCTATATAGCAACGATTTGTTCAATTAATCAACTCAGCAACTGAATATTTCTTGAACTTGTACTTATTTTTGAGGCGCTATATAAGATGTTGCGAAGGACAGAAAGCTGATTTGCTCCTTGGTCTTGCGTTCAGGCATTGTGAGGTCTAGGTAAAGAAATAAGGCATCTACATAATTCAAAAGAGGGGACTTCAAAAGAGAAAAATAAAAACTGGAAGTTTGAGATGGCAGAATGCAAGAGATCCCTGGAGTTTGACCACATCAGTCTGTATTCGCCAATAAGTTAATCTCTTTTTTGTTTAGGCTTAAGACCAGTTTTCTCAGCAGTAGCTCCAGAAGAAAACAGAAAGCATAGTTTAGTGAAAATCCTCTAGAATGTACTACATACCACTTCAAATGGTTCTTCTAAAATTGCTCAGTGTTCCTATCGCTTCTCAGCCTTTGGGCTAAGATCCAGTGTAAAGCTGTTCATGTTCCTCAAAGTGAATGTCCACTGGAAAACAGCACCACCGCATTCAATGACTGACTTCAGCTGCTAACCTGGAGAGTAGGTGCTGCAGGCTGGCACGTGTATGCCCCTCAAGTATCAGCGCTGAAGCCTTAACCCTCAAATGCAACTGATTCTGGAGACAGGGCTTTTGGACATACTCCACTGGGCCTTGAAGAGGTTACCACGCCGACGCCCCACCCTGACGAGAGCGACCTTAGGAGGAGAAGCAGAAGCTCTCGCTCTCTGCGCATGCATCAAGGAAAGGCCACGTGAGCGCACCGCAAACACACGGCACCACACCCAAAGCGGGAGCCTCGCCGGCTCCCATCTCCCCTTCACCCTGACCTCACATCTCCCGTCCAAACAAAGCTGAGTCTCTGCTGCTGGTACTTCCTACTGGGGCAGCGAGCTCTTACATCCAACAGCAGCATTAATTTAGAAATATTTTTTCTCATGACGGCAAGATGAACCAGTAAATGTCAACTCCAAGGTAAGTTTGGTGTGCGTGATCATTTAAGTGACAGCACGTAGCAAAGTTCTTGACGCACTGCAAATAAATATTTTCTCAAAGCAAAAGGCAAATAAAAGCCACGAAAACCAGAAACACCTGAATATTACTTTTTCAATCTATAATGTCTTTGCATTTAAATGTCTAATGTCTCTCTAACTAATTTTTTTTGGTACCAGGACTCAAACTCAGGACGTTGTGCTTGCCAGGCAGGTGCCTGTGCTGCTAGGCTATATCCCCAGCCCTCTGAATAACTTTTACTTACTTCATACTTTGCTACAGTTTCCAAGTTTCCTGCCATAAGTACGTATTGCTTTTATAACCCCTAAGTATCCCAGGTATTTTCTGGTGTTCACATCTGTACACGTACAACATCCGCATTACCTACCTAAAAAGCGTGAGGACAGACGGCCCGCCACACTGGGCTGCGCTCCCATCGCTGTGTAACAGCTCTGCTTTGCTTCTGGTCGGCGCACTGGCTGCTTCTTCATCCAGAAGAACCAGAAAGGTTTTCACAGTGTCTCTGCCGCAGTAGGCAGTGCCGTGGTTTATGGCATGAGATTTCGGCTGGAAGAAAAAGTACCAATCCCCAACAAATGAAAACATCACGTATTGAAAACTTATACCAAAGGAGAAAAAGACAAAAACTAAGTTTAAGTCAATGTAACCACCACCCTAGCTGCGTGAATCAGCCACGTTTTTCCATTTCCTGTGCCACTATGTTGTTGAAGTTACAAAAAACCACCTAAGAAAAGCAGCTATACAGTACGGGTCCCTTCTCCCGTAAGCTACAGATGAGCAACCTCATCAATTTTCAGAGGCACAAAAATGGTAACATCAGAGGAAGACATTATTTTCTGGTCAAAGGAGCATCAGGCTTTCAGTGAGGAAAACCTTGGCATTGTCTCTTATTCTAAAGGAAGATGAGGCTCTGACAAGCTGAATACTAATTGCACAGATTGTTGTTAAGGTCTCCACAAATGTGAAAATGAAAAACCAGCAGACATTCATTCAGTCCATAATCATTGGTTAGCACATGTGTCCCGAGATTATGTTTCAGCAACAGCTAGGAAGGCAAAAACACCGCCCTGCAAGAGGCCTCAGTCTCCTTGATAAGATAACCGAGCAGCTCTAACAGCGCCTTCGAGGAAGCTACGGGGGATTTCTAACCAGTGCGCGGGTTTCTGATCAGTGAAGGAGCAGCGCACACAAGGGAGTGAACAAAGTACCGCGGTGTCCAGAGGGGGCACAAGGGCAGGACACAGGGGCCACGGCAAGGTGGGGAGCACAGCAAAAGGAGGAGGGCGGTAAGATGTGCTGAAAAAGCTGTGTACCATGCAAAAAAGTGAGGGTCAATCAATGACAAAGCCAAAATCGCTTGCTTGCGTAGCAAGTAGGTACAATGACCCTCTTTAGGCTTTAGAAAAATCACCAATAGCAAGTGTAAAGTAAAATATATTTCAGTGTAAGAATGTTATCCAATCTTGGAGGCTACAAACTAAAAGGTTATAAAAGTCCTGGTCTGAACTAAGACAGTAGCACTAGAGATAAAGAAAGCAGGCTAAAAAGGGAGCGCTCGAAACACTTAGCGACTAGACAGGGAGAGAGAAGAAAACATACGGTACTATGATATTCCTCGCAGCTACCCATGAGCATAAACCCTAAGCCACCCTAGGACTCTGGGGAAGCTGCTTAAGGCAACCTGCTGGCAACCAGGGCGACGGCCGCTGCCTCCCCAGCGGGCTCGTCCGCCTTGTGCCTGGGGGACTAAGTGGCCCTTTGCTGGGCCAGCTGCGGCGGCTGAGCCACTTTCCTCAGCTCCTGCCCAGCTGGGCGTGGCCTCCTTTCCCCACCTGGCAGGCGCGGGCCACCACATGAACTCCAACGTGCCCTCCCATGGGAGGACACTGCCTATCGCAGTCGGCCCAGAGAACTCCACACTGCTGGAGCCTAACTTCATTGAGTACTATTTGATTGCACTTTTCAAAGACGTCTGATGTGGTGGAAAACATAAAATTAAGAACCAGGCTGTCTGCACTCTTCTTTTGTCAGAAAATGAGACATTCTGGTGCTGTGAATTACCTGAGATTGTAGCACTTTCTGATATTTACAAATAGGGCCGGGGATATAGCTCAGCGGCATAAGCGCCTGCCTGGCAAGCACAAGGTCCTAAGTTCGACTCCTGGTACCAAAAAAAGAAAACAAGAAACCAGACAACTGATATTTATAAATAATAATCTGGTTGTCACTTGAGCCCAGCTAGTCAGTAGAAATGTTAACACACGTGAAATAGTGGGGCACCACCCCAGGATTTCCTCCATGCTGGGATTTCAAAGCAAAGCTAAAAACGTGAATCATTATAGAAGAATGGCTAAAAATGGCAGAGAGATGAGCGAATGAAGAAGCAACGAACCGCAAGCGAACATCGTTGCCCTTACGCTGGCGGCCACAGTGACACCCAACCAAGAGGGGCTTCTGTCAGCTGACTACGTGGCTGTGTACGCATCACGGCACACCTCCAGAACTCTGCTCTGAAGCCGAAGCCAGGCGCTCACCTTCTCCTAGAACTGCACGCCGCAATCGATTACATCTGACTATGCAAGAAAGTCGAGAAGGAAGTGAATGTTCCCGGGACACACAAAGCAAAGACTGCCAGGTGTGCGGAAACGGGTGGTAGGACGGGAGTGGGTGGAGGAAAGAAGAGACTGCAGGGACCTATAAAGGAAAAGTAAACTGCTGAACGGAACCATCTCTAACGGGACTGCTGCCAACCCACAGGCAGCGTAGCACCGGGGTCAGAAACGAGGCTCCCACATCCGAACAAACGGGAAAGTAACTGCTCTACGAGAACAAATGCTGGAAAACACCACCAAGTACCTTAATGCCCATCAAGAATTAAGTTTTTAGTGCTAAAAGGGATAAGGAGATTATCCAGTGCCTTACTTTAATTAACACAGTGTGGTCCAAAGATGTTATGATTTACCCGAGCAGAACATAATCCTACTGAGAAAATTAAATTTCAACATCATTAAATTTCAAACACAGGAAACAGATTATCTGACTTAAGTGAGACCAGCAAGCCACGGACATGATAAACTGAAGAGAGATGATGTTTTGTACAGAAGATAACAAGAAATAAAAAGCTCATTACCCGAGCAGGACTTATGTCAGTGGGGCCAAGAGCTCCGCCCTCCTGTTGAGAATTGACAATATTTTTAATCCTCAAATCCAAATCCTGTGCAACTTCTTCTACTGCTTTACAGAAGGCAGCCTCGCTGCTTTGGCCTTTAATCAGCTGCATCTTTATTACCGACAGTATCCGACCCCCTGCAATGCTGAAAATAGAAATAAGATGCCTTCATAATAGCACTGCAAATGACAGTCGGTTTACAGGCTTGAAAAAAGAATTCTCAGCGCTAATCAACACCTTTCAAACAATATAGCTTTGGTCTTATAAATCAAACAGTGAAGCATTTAAGAAAAAGATGAGGACCACTGGAAACAAAACGTTCAAAGTTTTTCTAAAAGCAAGTAATTTCGACAAGTTAGTTCATACTTTATTTTAAACTGAAGGGAAATGATTTAGTTATCTATGAACTATAACAGGTCAGGTCCAGCCATTTACATGCATAAAATTTGTACCTTCAGAAACTACGAAGATAATGAAAACATCTACCTCTCGCATTGAATACCTCTCATTGACTCTTAAAGCCAATTCACCAAGCTGTAACCCTAAGTTAGGAACCCTAGGTTAGGAACTCTAAATCACAGAGGGAGGAGTTGGGTCTCATAAAGGCTTCCCAGTGGGGATGGGGGAGGGGAAGGAAACGGACCTGAAGCACATGCTGTCGCACCCTCGCCCGTGAAGGGCAGCTGTGTATGGGACAGGAAATCAAGCGAGTAAGCATTAACCCAGCGGGAGGCGTCCAGCAACAGAAGAGGGCTCTCTGAAGTCACAGCGCCCAGGGACAAGGTGGCCTGGCCTGAGGGTGTGTCAGGCTGCCTGGGCCCGCTGCTACACTACTGCACCACTCTTTCACCGTGCTATCAGGGAAGTTTATCAATTGACATTTACACACCCACTGTGTCAGAGAACAGACCGGTTCCTGAACACATGTGAAATCCAATTCTTTACATCTTAACAGCTGGTCCAGACAGAGCAGGGGAGTTCTAAGCAGCATCCCGAGACTCGTCAAGCAGGGCGGTCACACACTCAATGGGCTGGTCCGGTGTCCTAACCACAAGAACCATACCCATTTTTGTTCAAACACCAGCTCCTCTCCCACTGAATCGGCATCTATAACCAGGACCCTGGGGAGTCGTTTTGCTTTGAAAGTATCACAGGTGAGTTCTGAAGGCAAGGTGGGAAAAATTCCACACACCCAACCTAGCACTTTAAAAGAAGGAACCATGTTTAACAATCTTCCTATTCCAGTTTACACTTGATACACACAAAAAAGGTGATGGAAGCTTTATGTATCTGCTGCATAAATGACCACTGTTCAGTGGGAAGTTTCTAAAGTAAAACAAAAGCTACATAGCTGACTACCACACTGCTATTATCTGTGGTCCTGCAGTACTTAGGGGGTGTGTTGGTTTGGGGCTTATTTGCAAGGGGAAACAATAATATAATACAGAACACATACTTAATAAGATTATTTATAATAGTCACCCAAAGAACGACATACAAAAGAGTGCAGGGAATCTGTCCACACACTATAGACCAAGAATCCAGCCAAGGGCCTGGATCCCACAGAAATGTTCTGCATGAGTCCAGCTGAAGACCCAGAGCTCATAACAATGCCTCCCGTGAATCCAGCTGGAGGCCCAGTGCCCATAACAATATCTCATATACCCCTATTTCACGGATCTGCGCTGGGAAGGCCCAAAGCTCGGTGGAATCTAGGAAGTCTGTGCCAGAGGGATGAAGGATCTGTGCTAGCAGGTTGACGGATCTGCACTGAAGCCAAGAAGCAACACTCAGAAGAACCAGAGCTCCCCTGAAAGGTCCCACAGCCATCCTCGGCAACAGTGAGGACCCGAGCTCCTCCGATGATCAGGATGGCCGAGTTCCCACCAGGGAAGCCAACGCAGCAAGCTTCTCCAGGAGGCTGGTAGTGCACCATCTTCCCTCCAGAGCCAGGAAGCGATGCTCAAGGTGAGGACCAGAGCTCCTCCAAAGTGAACCAAAGCCATTCTCACTACCAACGAGGTTCCGAGCTCCTCAGAGGATGAAAACAGCCAAGTTCATCAGGAAAGCCAGCATGACGAGCTCCTCCAGAACAACCAACAGCTCCTTACAGCTTCCATCAGCTCCAACAGCCTTTCTCAGCTCCCAACAGCCTCCTTCTTCTCCAGGTCTGCCTCTTATGCTGCTGGCAGCAATCCCCAGGTGGGCCTCCCACACAGCACCATGCTTACTCAGCTCAGCTGGGGGTGATAAGTTGATCACCAGTTATCAACCCACCACGGGGTCATACAGACACTCTGCAGAAACGTCTCAGCAGCGCTGAGAACAGAAGTCTCTCGGATCCTTGCGGTCTCCCTCCCTCAGAGGGGCACAGAGGTGAGCTGAGGTGGCGGGCGGGAAGCTGAGGCCAGCAAGCGGTCTGAGCAGGGTTTGCCTCGGGTCTGTACCTGGCACCCGGGCCCGAGCTGGGGCACAAACCGGACCGTGCAGTGAGCTGCAGGACCTTCCCGGGGGAGGCAGCTCTACGGCTGTTACTCGACTTGGTCTGCATGCCACACACTTCTGAAGCTTTCTACAACGCTTGCTACTTAGCGGTAACACAAATACAACTGCTTTCTGTTTGCTGACCATGTACTCGGCAACACTGTTGTAATCCAGGGCTAATTTTAACAATTTGCACTTAGATTCTTAAGAGTTTTCTACACATATAAGCATTATGATCAAGTAAGTTATTTCTTCCCTTTGAATTGTATCTCGTTTCTCTTTCCTGTCTGAATTAGCCATCGAATACTATGCTGGAAAAAAATGACAGCAGAAACTTGACACTGAATGCTCAGTTGACTTTCTAAGTGAAGTTTTTAGGGACACCCTTTCTACCAAGTTAAAGCCTGCATTCTCAGTTCATCTTTACACTGGGCTCAGCCCTGCGGGGTGGTTATGTGTTCCTACTAGAGCCCATCTTGGGCCTTCCCTGGGTTCTGTCCCTGTCATGGTTTGTGTCTGGATGTCCCCACAAAGCCTCCTGCAGTCGTGGGGCGGGCTTCTAGAGTTTATGATTGATCCATGGTCCAGTGCTAGGATTATGGGTGTGAGTGCCGCACCCGCCCTGGGGCAGGTTCTTTGCATACAACGTAAGGGAGGAAAAGAGGCTGCTTGCTGCCACTCCTCCCTTTTGCTCTTGTTGCTTTTGCTGTCCGCAGCCATGAACTCCTGCCCTCTGCCATGTGCCACTCTGCCTTGGTGCCAGCCAAGTTGGACTGAAAAATCCACAAACTGTGAGCTAAATTAACCTTCCCTTCCTTAATTCTGGGCATCAGGTATTTTGTCTCAGCAATGAGACAAAAGTAACCAAGATAGTCTCCTGAGATTTTTGTGGCATATATTTACCCAGCATTATTAGTTTTGGGGGGCTTGGTGGAGACAGGGTCTCACTATGTAGCCCAAGCTGGCCTCAAACTCACAGCGACACTCCTGCCTCAGCCTCACAAGTGCTGGGGTTCCAGGTGTACGCCACCATGCCTGACTCTATTCTCAATAAACATTAAAAGGAAACCGCGGGTGAGAAAGGTAGGCTGGCAGCCCCTGTCTCCTAACTGCATATTAGAGCAGGGGAAAGGAAGCTGCTGGTACAAAACGGACACCTGGAAGAGAATGTGCTATGCTGATACAGACAACTGCGGGAGACATCTTCCTATGATTCTTCGTCACTCTTTATGACATCAAGCGAAGGGCTTTTCTGTACCACACTGACGACTTTGAAAACTATTTGATGAAATAGATTTTATCTTTAAAAATTGACTGTGATTGAAGGTACCACTATAAAGCATTTCAAGAATGATTCTGAAGTGTTTTAAACACAAAAAATGTTAACATCAGGCCAGGTGTGGTGGCTCACGCCTACAGTTCCAGCACTTGGGAGGCTGAGGCAGGAGGATTGCCTCGAGTTTGAGGCCAGACTGGGCTACATAGTGAGACCCTGCCTCAGAAAAAAAAAAAGTTAACATCAGATTACACTGGAAAATTTCAACTAGGTTTCAAGTTCTGTAAATATGTACTTAACCCAACAATATAACGCAGCTGTGCATTGAAATGTTGTAGCAGGAGCTGGAAACACAGCATTTTAAACCTCTCAACAACGGAAGTAATCTGCGCACCACGAAGGGTCTAAAACACGTTTCAGGGGAAAGTAGTGTGCGCACATTCTGGCGGCACCTACCGGCAGAGCGGAGAAGTGCAGCCAGCTGTGCTAAGGGCCTCAGAAGAGCTGCCGGGTCACAGCAGCAGTTCCTTCTTGCCCCCTGCTCGCCCGGGACTGCAAACGCGCTGTCATCTCTGCGTTTGAGGGTTTAGGGGCAGAATGCACGAAGGGGCCAAAGCGAGAGGCGGGAAAGGGTCAGACCGCGAGTCCCGCGGCTGCGTCTGCACCTAGGCGGAGTCGCTGAGGCTCCGATCACGCACGAAAGGACCGCAGGCGCGAAGACGAAATCAGACACCTGCTGCGGAAGCGGGCGCGGGGAAGAACACTGCGCTGGGAGCCAGGCACGGAGGAAGCGCACGGAGGGTGGGGTCGGCCCGCGCCTCTGCGGGGCCAGCTGGGGGAAGAGAGCTCTGCGGGGAGGGAATCACCCGGAGGCAGCTGAGGCCCGTGCTCCGCGCAGAACAGCCCCGCGGACACGGAAGATGCGCGGAACTCGGGAAGGAGTGCGGGGCCAGAGGGCGCAGCGGACACGTGGGAAGGAGCCCTCAGAGGTTACCGGACAGGAGCTCCGCCAGAAGGGGCGGCATGACCAGCGGATCGGGGAGGACGGGCAGAGAGCGCGAGGCAAGGCCACTCGGGTGAATAAGCACCGAGCGGGCATTCTGCGCCAGACACTGCGCCAGGCTGGGAGCAGCAGTGAGAAAAACCGGTACACCCTCACAGCTTCCCGTCCGCTGAAGAAGACACGTTAAACACCCAGGGAAGTGGGCACACGCAGTATGTTTTTATTCTTTAAACTACAGCCGGTCGTGGTGGCGCACACCTGTAATCTCAGCACTCAGGAGGCAGAGGCAGGAAAATCGCTGTGAGTTCGAGGTCAGCCTGGGCTACACAGTGAGACTCTGCCTCAACAACAAAAAACGAAAACAAACAAACAAACAAAAAAC